CTGGAACCTTGTGTTCAGAGGCTGCCTCTGGTTGGGTGAGCAGTTGGTGACATGGCCATATAGCACCCACTATGGAGATGGGATAGCATTGTCTAGGAAATAGCAACCTAGACTGGTCTATGACAGAGTGATGTTTTCCTGGGACTCAGTCTGTGTTGCTGATTTTTATGGTTTATCCAGAATTAGCAGATAAAAGAGTAGGTGGCGGAAATGCAACTTAGGCCCGTATAAGCCAACTCACCGCAAGCATACTTCTGAAACACCGAGGGGTAAAGGACTGCAGAGGGCCCGGGACTGAGAACCACTTAGAGAAGTCCACTGGCATCCAGGAGATGCGCTGGGTGCTCTGGTATGAGTAAGGGCACCACAGGGAGGGAGCAACCAGAGTCTGTCCCCTAGGTGACCCGGCGAACAGCACGGATGGTGGCCGAGTGGCAGTGTGTCGGCTTCTGCCATGGCGTGCTCAACACGGACAACATGAGCATCGTGGGGCTTACTATTGACTACGGCCCCTTCGGCTTCCTGGACAGGTACTGCCCCTGGGGTCGACGGTGATGGGCCTCTTGCCTGATGGTCACCTAGGAACTGTCCCTCACAGTGAGGGGGACAGACCCCAGCAGCACAGGGGTCACGGGTATAAGAAGGGGGCAGGGAGGCCTGTGTGCTGCTCATGTGCCTTTTTCAGTGTCTCATTCCCAGCAGTGTCTGGTCAGCCATTCCTAGAAGCAGAAATCAAGGGTTTTGGAACTCATTATGTAATCCAGGCTGGTCTTGAACTTGTGGTCTTCCTGTCTTAGGCTTCTGAATGATAGGATTATAGGAGTGTGCCATCATACTTAGCTTCCCTGGAGTGTTTTGAACTAAAAAGGATGACGTCTTAGCATGTTAGAACAAGCCCCTCCACTGCCAGGCTGTAAGTGGATCAAAGGAGCGGGATGCAGGGGAGGGGTGGAGCAGAGGCAGGTGGTAGGCAGGGAGCTCTATCTTGTGGCCTGGGTCTTTCTGGGTCTCAAGGAGCTTCCTCCCTGGCCTTGAGGCCAAACTGCCTGTGTATAGGCAGAAGAAAGTACAGCCAGTCTAGAGATGTCTGAGCCCACAGGACCTGACTGCAGGAGTGGTATCACCACGGGCGTGGCCGTCAGCCTGCCCCAGGAGCCTGCCCTGTCTCCTGATAGCACTTCTCTGTGCGGCAGATACGACCCTGACCACATTTGCAACGCCTCCGACAACGCCGGGCGCTACACGTACAGCAAGCAGCCGCAGGTGTGCAAGTGGAACCTGCAGAAGCTGGCAGAAGCACTGGAGCCCGAGCTGCCCCTCGCGCTGGGGGAGGCCATCCTCGCCGAGGAGTTTGACAGCGAATTCCAAAGGCACTATCTGCAGAAGATGCGTAAGAAGCTGGGCCTTATTCGAGTGGAGCTGGAGGAAGACGGGACACTTGTGGCCAAGCTTCTGGAGACCATGCATCTGACTGGTGAGCTGCAGCACCCTGGCACTGTGGGCAAATACTCAGTGTTCCCCTTCATCGTTTCTAGACGTATAGCTCACTGGCACTGAGGACATTCCTATTTCCCAAACTGAAATTGTCTCCTTTAAATATTCTCCATCTACGTCCCGCAACACCACCATTCTGTTTTCTGTAAATTCGACCACTCCAGGAACCTCGGGATTTGTCTGTAGCTGGCTTCTTTCACTCACAGGAGATCCCTAGGCTCTTTCATGTTGTAGCATGTGTCTGAATTTAACTCCATTTTTAATGCTGAATATCCAGTGTCTATGGTAATGGATCCCCTTGGGTTTTCTTTTTTGTGTGTGCGGGGGAGGGAGGCGGTGTTTCAAGACAGGGTTTCTCTGTGTAGTCCTGGCCGTACTGGAACTTGCTCTGTAGACCAGGCCAGCCTTGAACTCACAGAGATCTGCCTGCCTCTGCCTCCTGAGTGCTGCGATTAAAGGCATGTGCCATCACCACCCGGCTGCCCCCTTGGGTTTTCTTAAAGGCT